GGTCCCCAGCTCGGAAATCACAAGGCAGGTTCAACTAATTTAGCCTTTCTTCCCCTCCTTCCACAAGGGCTTAATAATGTTCATTTGCCCATTTTGGTTCCTCTTAAGTTGTTGTTGTTGTTGTTGTTGTTGTTGTTGTTGTTGTTGTTGTTGTTGTTGTTGTTACTTGAGCTTCACTCCAACAGGATAAGTAACCACTTCAAATAACCAGAGATGATCAAAATTGCTTTTTCCATTTCTGCAAACCATCAGGGTTAAATCTTAATATTTGTGCAGAATTTAACATGGGGGATTGAGTGGCTTTTAAGAGGCATACAGATTCCTTTAAAAAAAAATCAAAGCTCTCACAGCTGCGAATTTGATTCAACACTGAGAATTTTTGAAAACTTTGATATTATTATCCCAGGGTGGCCACACCATACCATGACAGTATTCCACACATCAGAGAAGAGACTGATATGACAATCTCCATAACAGGTTCACATGCTTTTCTTGTTGTTGAAAAGGAACTCTCCCCCTATACATGTGTATGTGTGTGTGTGTGCACACGCACGCGCGCACGTGCGCGCGCACACACACACACACACACAAATTGGCAGCACACACAGAACGCTAAGTTTGTAACATCTGTTTGGCTCCATATTACATTTCCTTCAAAGTCCACTTAGATGACAATTAGGGAGTTTCTCTAGTTTTGTATTTGCTCCGCAAGGCAAGCTCCTGGTATTCCCATTTCCCATTCTCAATGTAGAATCAAACTTGCATCTGTGAGAAGCTTTACATTTTTTAAAGAAAGCATCTGTATGCCATCATCTTAAGAAAACCAACTTGATGCGTTTAGGATGCATTAACAGAAGTACAGTCTTACTCCCACGAGGTACTAATTCCCCTCCGTTCAGCACTGGTTAGGCCTCATCTTGAGTATTGTGCCCATTTCTGGACACCGCACTTCGAGAAGGATGCTGACAAACTGGAACAAGTTCAGAGGAGGGCAACAAGGATGATCGGGGGCTGGAAACCAAGCCTTAGGAGGAAAGACTGAAAGAACTGGGCATGTTTAGCCTCGAGAACAGAAGACTGAAGGGAAATAAGAGAGCACGTTTCAAATTCTGTCATACAGAGGAGGGACAGGGTCTGTTCTCGATCATCCCAGAGTACAGGACGTGCAACAATGGGCTCAAGTTACAGGAACCCAGATTTCTGTTGAACATCAGGAAAAACTTCCTAACTGTTAGAGCAGTACGACAATGACCTTGGGAGTGTTCCGATGCTGGAGGCATTCAAGAGAAAATTAGACAACCATCTGCCGGATACACTTTGATACGGTTTTGTGCTTTGGAATGGGGATTGGACCCGATGACCTTACAAACCCCCTTTCAACTTAATTATTCAATGGTATAATTCTGTGGTTTCATTGCACTAAGCACAGGCAATGCACAAGACGACGGTGACTTTAATTCAGTCCTCTCAGGCTTGAATTGCAAACAATCCAACAGTAACTGGATATTAATGCAAGAGGTAACCAGTTATTTTCTTTTTCTTTTACCCTTGCTTAATCTGTCTATGAAGTACCAAACTCCACTGACAAATTATCTCAGAAGATACTGCCAGAATCAGACGCAATTCAGAAGATTGCATATATTGCTTTATGGTAGCTTATTTTGCATTTAGAAGTGCAGGAAATTGGGATATTGAATTCTCCACTTGATAATTGTTACGTAAGTATAACATCTGAAAAAAAAAGCAGAGAGAGAGAGAGAGAGATGTATGCAGATTACACTAACAGCTCTGGACAGTCTTGCAAAGGGAGATAATTCTGATTAGATCTTATTAAAAAATCCAGATGCGTAATTTGCAATTAAAAGGCAGGTGTAAAATCAATTAGCATTTTCAGCCCCGCTAAAAGAGAGATGCAGGAAGCGGGCAGCCGAGCCTGTATTTGCTATAAGTGTTGCCACAAAGCCGCATGCTTACAAAGACCGCACAGATGCCATCGTGAATCTCATGGCTTCACTGGAACCACTTCAGCGTTAGGCGAGCCTGGGAACTCAGCAAAGATCTTCATCTGAAAAACAGCCACCACCATCACTAAATGCGTGAAGGGGGTGGGGGGAGAGAGAGAAGGGACAGAATTCTCTGCCAAAAGCACAGGCCTGCTCATTTTAAAGGCTCGCATAAATTTGGGTTGACCTCACAAAGGCACGTCCCCAACACGGATTTTGGAAAATACTTCTAAGTGAGCCTCTTTTGTGCAAGGCTGACAGCCAAGGGGGGAGCCGGGAACACGAGGGTGCTCTGATCCTTCCTTAATGCTGGGCTTCCCAATTATCCAGAAAAGACAGAAACAGGATTAAAGCAATTTGCTTGTAGCAGAGGATAGAAAAAAAAGCTTCGGGTCTCTTTCATCCCTCCCTCTCACCCCCTCCCTCCACCCCATACAGGACTGTGAGATCAACATCAGAGAAAGAGAGAGAGATGCGGTTCCATCTCCTTTCTCTTGCTGTCTTTCACTCCTCCCTTGCCCAAGATGGATGGACAGCACTAAAATGACTCACTGGCCATTTCATTAGCATCCACAAAGAGCAGGGACTTGGACTTCCTCCAAAATTAACAGTGCGGAGGGAGCAAGGGAGCAGAGGCGATGAAGGGGGGCGGCTGCTGCCGGGAAGCAGCTGAGCATAATGCTCTCTAACACAAATGCCCTTTGCATATGGGCCAAGCAGTCGAGTAACACCACCGCTGGAAACCTTGCTGGGCCAGCGGTGAAGTCGCAGGAGCAGCGAGCCCTCTGGTCTCCAAGAGGAGGCAGAAAGGTTAAGCGAATGACAAGGCATTAGGAAAACTGGTCTGTTTGCTTAGAAGGAAGCAGAGCAGGGAAGGATCGGGCCCACCATCACAGAGCAAACCGCTGTAACAGGAGGCGCACCGGTGCAAAGTGACTGCTCACTTCTCCAAGAAGCTCTTTTGCCATCCCAGAACCCAGTACACCTGAAGCCTATTCCAAAACACCAACCCCAGTGTACACTCTTGGGTCCAATTTTTTCTCTCTGCTGTCCTAGGTACCAACGTCTGGGTGGTGTATACTCAGCGCTTAGAAGGTGAACCTCTTGTGTCCCAAACCACTCAAACTCTACATCAAAAGAAGCCAAGACCTGCAACCCATAAAAAATCAGGTAAATGTGCCGACTCTCTTATTCCAGAGAATTTATACTTCAGGTTGCGAAATTCGCTGAGGATCCAAGCCTTCTACCATGAAGAGTAAGTTTCAATCAACAGTCATTGGGAACAGAAGCCCAACGAAACCTCCGTGTTCTGGTGCAGTATACCAATGAATTTCCATTGAGGAAGGATCAGAAAAGAAGACTGAGGGGGTGATAGGAGAGCACTTTTCAAAGATTTGAAAGGCTGTCCTACAGAGGACGGAACAAGATCTGTTCTCAATCATCCCAGAGTGCAGGACACACAACAATGGGCTCAAGTTGCAGGAAGCCAGATTTCGGTTGACTATCAGGAAAAAAGTGGCCTCAGGAGTTGGTGAGTGCTCCAACACTGGAGGCATTCAAGAAAAACTTAGATAATCACCTGGCAGATATGCTTTGATTGTATTCCTGCCTTGAGCAGGGGGTTGGACTTGATGGCCTCAAAGGCCCCTTCCAATTTCACTTTCCTATGATCAGCATTAGTGGGGGCTTTTGTCTTTTCAAGCCTGGCCTGAGGGCCCCCTGGGAGTATCCAACTGTGGTGAACAGGATGTTGAGCTAAATGAGACCCTAAGCAAATTTACTAGGGCTCCCTTTGCATGGAACTAGAATCACTGCCACTGTCTTCCCCCCACCCTTTTTTGGGGGTGGGGGGGCTTCGGAAGGCTAGCTACCTTGTCCCTGCGGCTTCTAAGTGAATGCTCCATTGCCAATACACTTACCAGGGCCTAGAAATAACAGGTTGCAAGTAGCACTGTCACTTGTAGCAAAGCTATGAGGTTGGTGAAAGAAAGTCAAGAGGAATTGCATAAAAATATTTTTTTGGTGCAATATGTCACGTTTTCTGGTTACTCTGCAGTACATTTTTTAGGGGGGTTGTTAGATGCAGTCTTGAGTGGACTTTTTGAAGTTTTTAAGCCACTCTCTTTTAAATCTTTCTTTAAAAACTAAAAATAGCAATGGGAAGAGTATGAGCAATAATCATAAATTATCTGCCCGGCACTATAACTCAAAGAAAAAACTTTTTAAAAGTAACTGATTGAACTCTGACTGCTGAAATTCTCTTGCGGCTTAAGGCTGATGACATCAGCAGCGCTGATGATTTATTTTATTTTATTAAAAATTAAAATTTTCTGATTTCTCTTTCAAAGCTCTCAACACCAGGAAGCTGTGGGATGGGAGGGAGGAGGTCTTTAATAACCAAAAGTTGCCAGCCGCAGTTATGGCAATTTTTGGTAATTAAAGACTTCCCTCTCCTGTCCCGTGGCCTCCACAGCTTCCTGGCGAAGAAAGGAATTACACAGGTGCCTCAGAAGCTTCATGAAAGAAACCAAAAATGTTTAATTTTCAAGAAATTCCTGATGACGACGACGAAGCCACCAGCCTTGCTAGGAATCAGTTGCCACAAGAGGATTTTCTCTGACATTTTTAAACATACTTTTGCAACAGAGAAGCTAGAAATGGAAGGGGCCGTGTGCAGATATACTGCTTAAAAGCAGTTGTCCCCAATCTTTCGCTCTACCGACGATCTGGATGTCAGCTTCAAGAATCTTTGGCTACTAACCATGCTAGCCGAGACTTTTGGGAGCTGAAGCTAAGAACATCTGGAGGACCAACCACTGAGGGTCAGGAAACTCCAAAGAGCAACTCTGTATGAGTATGTGTGTGTATGAGAGAGAGAGGGAGTCAATGAGACAGAACTGTCCTAGGCGTTTTCCTGCCATTATTGTTGACAGATGTGAGCATAGGCAAAAGGCAAAAAGGGGGGGGGGAGAGAGACACACACACAGGAGACAATGCCCATGTTCGGTAGGTCCAGCTGCCATTTATTAAAAAATCACTGGAGCAAACGTCTCCTCCAAACACGGCAGAAAACGACAGCTGCAAACTCTCAGCGCTTCCTTTTCAGAGAGCGCCATGCCCAAGGCTCGCTGCGAAACTGCAGCCCCCTTTTCAAAGCACCATTTCAGCACAAATCGCTGGAGGGTGGGGGCGAAGAGATAACAAAATCATGGCACACCGAGAAGAGGAAAAGCCCGTCCTGATCGCTCTTCTCTCTCTCTCTCTCTTTCCACGAACTGCTTGCTGGTTCTGAGATGCAAAGAGAGAAGGGCACAGTGGGGAGACGGGAGAGCGATCTTTTCTGCAACACAGCCGGCCACAGAATCCGTCCCTGTCTTCCAGGCCCCACAGGGAATTGGCTCCTGCTGACAACTGCAGAGAGGGAAGGCATCCGAGTTTGAACAAGAAACGATGATGAAATATGCAGGAATCACCCAGAGTGACCTGGAGATATTTTGGCACAGGCAGCCAAGCTGCATCTAGATTGGCACAAGGTGGCACATTCTGGTCACAGGAGCCCAGTTCTGCCCAGACCGCTCCCCTCCCCTCGTGTTTGCCTTCTCGGAGGCTCACAGCTCTATGACCGAAAGGTAGTCTTCATTGTCCGAGTCCTGCAGGTAAGCCAGGCAGGGAGGAGGTGAGACACCAGGGCGCGGATGGAGGCTCTGCCCCATCAAGAGGTCAGATGGGGACAGCGTGTCACCCTTCAGCATGATGTAGAGGAAGTAGTGGAAGCCACTGCCGTACGTCTTGTACCGAACGGACCAACCGTAGGCGGGCTGGGCGTAATGGCGCTTGCGGAAGTGGGGCTGGGCAAAGGTGATGGAGATGAAGCGCCCGCCAGGACGCAAGACTCTGCTCACCTGGAAGTGAAAAGGAACAGCGTTAGTAGAGGACTTACTGGAGGGTGGGATTGTTCTACTGATCTCTATATAAACCCACACATGCATAGAAGCTCATGCAACCACATCTCCCACCGACACGGCTCTGATTTGGCACACAAAGTAGTATCAGGTTTCTAGCCCTCATGCTCACAAAGAAAAGGCATACATGGCTATGACAAGGAAGTATCTCTGGCTCAGCCACCCACAGGCTTGGAAAACTCTCCTCCCTTCCCACTCCTGCTCTCATTCCTAAACCTCATCTAGCCCGTGATCCTCTCCCCTCACTTTGGCTTTCCACCTGGTTAGCCAAAGCGGGGAGCTGTAAATCCTCCCAATAACAACAACAACAACAAAAGCATCTTTGCTGCATCTTCTGGGTTTGTTTCTGCATCAGTTTTTGGGGATGAGGGTCCCCTTCGGCGCAGGCAGCCTCTCCGAGAGGCTTGATGAAAAGGACCCGTCCAGGAGAGCAAGGCAGAGCAAAGTTCAGTGGGTAGAGCCAAGGTGCTATCCTGCACTCTGTTCTCCCGCACTGGTGAACTTCAGATTGTAAGCTGTAGTTTTTGTGGGTCACTGCATACACATCCTCAACACTGTGGCACATTGGTCTAACCCGAGGAGAGAGGAGAGGAAGAAAGCCACAGTCCTCTGGGGGCCCACCCATGACCTCTGGGAATCGTCGTTCGGCGCTTCTTTTCTCATGCGCAAGGCTTGCTCTCTTGGGCCCAGCACGGCAGCCAGGAAGGGCGGAAGCCAAACCGCTGAGAGCAGGCGATGTCCCAGCATGAACACAAGGGGAAAAAAAGTTGATGGGCTTTTGGAAGTTCCTGGGTGGGTAGATTTTCTAAAACACCAGGCCACCCGATTCACAGTCAGTCCAGGGCTGAAACAGACGTTACACCGCAGCTGTCTGATTCAACAGCAGCATCTCCGCTCAAAGGAGCAGCCTAACCGTGGCCCAAAAGCTCAAGCTTTTTTCCCTAGCTGGCCCCAATCCGTCTGAAGCCATGCTGGGCAATCCAAGCATTCAAGGGAGCTGGTACCACATAAGGCTTGCTTGTCTTTGAAGCTCGCTAGGACCCTTTGCTGTTTTCCCTACAGCCACGTTAAGCCCAATCTCACGATGGAACATCCATGCTCAGGGGCAGCCTATCTCCAATACAGTGGTGCCTCACTTGATGAGGATCATTCGTTCCGTTGAAATCGCTGTTAAGTGAAATCCTCATCAAGTGAAACGAAAAGCCCATTGAAATGCATTGAAACCGGTTCAATGCATTCCAATGGGCTAAATACCTCAGCGTCCAGCAAAGATCCTTCACAGGGCGGCCATTTTCGGCGCCTGTAAAGTGAGGAATCCACCCAGAAAGCACAGCAGGCGGCCATTTTAGAGCCGCCATCATCTGTTTCAAAATCATCGTTTAGCGAAAAATCGGTTCCCGAAGCAGGGAACCGATCATCGTTAAGTGATTTTTTTACCATTATAACATCGTTTTGCGATTGCAAAAACTTCGTCAAGCAGTTTCGTCATTTAACGAGGTAATCGTTAAGCGAGGCACCACTGTACTTGGCAGTGGAAAGGAGGGAATTACAAGTTATTGCTTCTATGACTTGCTTGTGAACGCTACATATCTATACAACCAGCTGCTGCTGAAAGCAAAAAAATAAAAATAATAAAATAAAATAAAAATGGGCCCTAAATCTGATCCAGCAAGGATCCTTGCATCAGAGAATCCCATGTCCCCCCCCCCCCCCAAATTCAAGGCTACCACTCCCCAAGCACTGATTCCCTCTCTACTACTGACTTGTAATGGGTACCTATGCACCCAGGGAAGGGTTTTACCCCATCATTTCCGGCTTTTTCTTTAACTGTGGATGCCAACGACCACTGGCACCCAAGCAGACGTTTTGTTAGAAAAACACCCTTCTTAACATTTTCTACCAGAAAGGGGCAGAATCCTTTCCCCTTTTCAACAGATAGGAACACGCCTTCCTAGTCCAAAGGAAAGGTTTTAGGCACCCCCTTTTTCACCCCTGCTCTGTATGCATTTAAACTTCCACCTCTCTCTCTCCCCCCCCTTTTCCCCCACCCCCACAGAACATCCCTGAGCCAAGATTTTAAAGAGACACGGCGTCCTAGGTACGGCTTGTTTGAAGCTGAGTGGACTTGACCCTTTTAATCATCATTTTCTGCACACTGGAACTAAGCTCTTGCTAATAGGATGGAAAAGAACATCAATTTTCTTGCTTGGCTTTATCCAAAGTCAAAGGCATTTACGGCCAGCGCCGGCGTGCTCGGCATGCGAATTCCGCGGCCAGGTCTCGGCTGCCAGCCCTTGGTTTGTGGGGCTTCTTCCCTCCTCTCATCCGCCCCCACCCCACACTCATTCTTCCCCTTGGAATGAGGGGCAACTTCCTTGGCAAGAGCTGGGACACATCCTGGCGCTCTGCTGCTCACCCCGACAGGTAGGGATTAAATGCCCTTCATCTCTTCATGACTCACTTGGCTAACCAGAAGAAGGGAAAGGATGGTACCGACGCCTTAGCATTGGGCACAGGGCGGGGGGGGGAATAAAAATTTTTAGGATATGGTTTTATTATATAGAAAACTCTGCCACCCACAGTGTGGCAACACTATTGGGACAGTATAGAAGTAGAAATTAATTAAGGAGAGGAAACCACCCCCTCTGTCCTCATAGCCGAAGGAAAGAAATACAGGAGATGGCTGATGGAAGAAGAGGATAGATAATGCTCTTTTTTCGAATTCATCTAGCTATTTGCGAAATTCATGCTGAGTAGGAAGAGGAACGACAGCCCAATGCTTTACTCTATTTACACCCTCGCACCCATGTATTTCCTCTTGTTTGGGAACATAAAGAACCTCTAACCAGCTTCGGAAACGACAGCATGTTTTTGATGCTCCTATCTTCTCTGATCTAGAAAGGCGTCTTTATCAATATTTCACATTTTCCTTCATCTAGAAATGGGAAGGGGGAAGGGAGGCGGATGGGAAAAGCTCCCGCCATTCCCCAGCCTTTTGATAAATGAATGAACCACCACCGTATTTCTACGCTGTAGGGCGTTTTAAATACTGAAAAACGGGAACACATGTTCATGACGGCACGTTTCCGATTGGATTAGCGGCACACGCAAGACACACACACACACGGACTTGGGCCCCCATTAAAGGATGCTTAAGTTATGATTAAGCAGTCCTTGAAAATTATGATGCAGCAACTGTATCTTGTATTTTGTCTACCCAGTCCTGCCCTGTCCATTGCTTTAGTCTGAGTCAAGTCTGCTCCATTACCTGTCTCTCAGCTCCTTTGAAACTGCTGATGCCTGAAACGAAACCTGCGACCTTTTGTATATAAAATATGTGCTTTACCGGAGAGCAAGGTTCTCGTCTCTTCCTAAGAAACAACTACCCTTTTGCCGTCCTTTCCACCAACGGTCAAGACTTCAGGATGCGTAAGAGGTACTAAGCCGTTCCCAAACTCTTCGGCTGCATCAAAAGCGCACAACTTCTGCGCCCCACATTGCTCCAAACAAAAAGCACTCCCCCCACGTCAAAAGGTACTTTCAGACCCCCATTGGCCTCTCTGATAAAATGTCCCCACACCCAGTCCTGTTTTACAGCAAACAAAGCCTTGCCAAACAGCCGGCAACTAACGTCTGGGTCCTAAAAGAAAACGTTTCTGGCCTGAAACAGGAGATTCCTTTTTCAGGACTTGGGGGGGGGGGCATTGTTGGTCATTTTGGGACCAAAACTTTTTTTGGGGAGGAGGAAGGACATCATAAAGCCCCTGCATTTATGGGGCCCATGCATCCCACTTTTGGCCACCCCATCTGATGCAGACTGCATGCATATCGATGAAAAGCAAGGTACGACAGGAGTGGTGGCAATAGGAAGCCGCTTGTCTGCCCAGGAAATGCCACTCCGCTCAGAGTGGAGCAAGAGGGCCACTCAACAGTAGCTGATGCAAGGTTACAAAACTGAGCAACACTCGGACTGCCTAACCCACCTACATCACCATGACTGTTGTGAAGAGGTATATCCCCTTATTGCTCACTCTGAACTACAGATGGGCACGAACCGGTCTGTCCCAGTTCGTCAAGGCGGTGCTGCTCCCTTTCCCCACCTCCTCTCACTCAATCAGCACAGCAGCTTCCTGCCCCTCCTCAACCGATCTTCCAGTCCCAGCAGCAGCAGAGGCAGCTCAGGCTTCTCCGCCCCGACCTCTCGGCTGATCTCCCAATCAGAGAGAAGGGCGGGGCCAAGAGGTCTGCGCTCTTGCTCGTGACTGGGAGATTAAGCCAAGGAGGTGGGAAAAGTAAGCAAGCTGGGCCAGGTAAGTGGCTGATTGGCTGAGGAGGCAGGGGAGGGGTGCAGCAGCAGCAGCTGTGCTGCCCCCTTCACGAACCGGCACGAACTGGTTTGTGCCCATCCCTACCCTGATAGATATTTTCTGAAGGACCACAAGTCCAGCATGCAGCTCCCCATGTTCAGGATTACACCGCTTTGTGAACAAACTGAAGGTCCCAAACTGTTAGGGCTTTATAAGTGATCATTAGCACTTTGAAGTCGACGCGGAAACGGATGGGCAACCAGTGTAGTGCAGCCAGAGTGGGGGAGATATGTTGGTGTTTTCTCACCCCACTAAGTAACCTGGCTGCCGCATTCTGAACCATCTGAAGTTTCTGCATCAGCCTCAAAGGCAGCCCCAAAGGATGGGAGGGTGAGTTTACAGGACACGGATAAACTGCAGCTGTTGCGAGGGGTCCATCTGCTGAAGGGATCTCACCCAAGCTTAGGAAGAGGTTTGGGCAAAGGCCATACGGGTCATCTATTTAAAAGAGAGTTCGAATTAAAAGAGGTTGTTGTGTTAGTCTGTGCTAGCCTATCAGGCAAACACATGTCAGATGTATCCATGTTTGGCCTGGATCAGGTGAAGAACAAGAGAGTTAAGATGCAAAGATGG